GGGGGGGGGGGGGGATGTTAGGCAGACATCTCTCAAAGGTATGGCAAGCCGATTTAGCTTTTATTCATTTCTGGAGGATATCCAAAAATACATTCTTACTCGTAATAATGTTTATTTCTGATACAAAAATAGAATTTTAACTAATTCTTGATGTCAGAAATTCAATTGTAACTAGTTGTAATGTGTATTTCTGATATCAGAAATACACATTACAACTAGTTACAAAATCCTTTTTTATATCTAGTTGTAATGTGTATTTCTGATATCAGAAATACACATTACAACTAGTTACAAAATCCTTTTTTATATCAGGAATTCAATTGTAACTAGTTATAAATAAAAATTGAATTATAACTAAGTAACAATTGAATTCCTGATATAAAAAAAGGATTTTGAACTTAGATCAAATTGTATTTCTGATAAACAATTTGCATTTCGCCCAGTTGAAATGTAATTATTGATATCAGAAATTGGTATTTTTACTGGTTCAAATGTAATCGTAACAATTGAATTACTGATATTGTTTTTATCATTCATTTCAAATTCCACCTCCCATTGAAATGAATGAGAAAAATGATACAAATCTCACTCGTTAAAATCGCATTTGATATCAGAAATACACATTACAACTAGTTACAATTCAATTTCTGATATCAGAAATACACATTCTTAGTAAGAATAGATTTTTTGATATCCTCCAGAAATGAATAAAAGCTAAATCGGCTTGCCATACAAAGGTGTTTCTTTATGTCAATTTAGAGCAGGGGTGTCAAACTCAAGGCCCGGGGGCCATTTTATGGCCCGCAAGAGCTTGCAAAGAATACAATACGTTTATTATACGGTTACATGCCACTTTACAGAATCACATGGCCCATAAACCACATGTCCCACAATGCATCTCATTTTGTGAGATGGGCACTGAAGAGACTTGCAATTATTTGCCCTGGACTTCTTTTAGACTTAGTTAATTACAAAGTTATTACTCTATTCGATAATAATCTAATTCAGAGGCAATCATGTAATATAATACATTATTTTATATATGCATATTATTTATATAGTTACAACCGGCCCTTTGAGTGCAACCATAATGTGGCCCACGATGAAATTGAGTTGGACACCCCTGATTTAGAGGAACACTTTGTTTTGGAAAAGCCCAAACCTACCTGAAGCAAGCGAACATTCAAGGATATATTTTTGCAAATCATCTCAATTGGCACTACCTTTGTCCTTGTAATAAAACGCAGGAGAAAAGGCTTTTTAGATTATCCTGAGCTTTGTTTGTTTATAAAAGTTTTACATTAGATTGAACACTTCTAAGAGATGCTTGACTTCATTAGATGAATGTCTGACGGCACAGAAGCACCTAAACATAAGTTACTAATTAGCTGCAGGGGGCAAAGTGTTCAAAGCTCTTGCCTTTAATCCTCCTCTTGTTTCTGTGAAAAGCCTCCGAGTAATGAACACAGTTGAAGGACTACAAGCTGACTAAGTGACATAAACACACGTTAGATAATATTCTGTTCGTGTAAACACACTCAGTCACAGCTGCTGAGTCACGGTTAGTCACAGCTGCTGAGTGTACGACACACGCACTGGTTAATGAAGAGACCCTGCAGAGGAATAAAGGTCAATAATAATCACCTTACAACCTGCTGATATCTGACATCCTGACGTATAAATCTTACATTGTTTTAAATGTTATTTCACCACCTGGTTACCCGTGTAGCTGCCAGGAATAAATGATGTTCCATTACACACTGCATCCCAATTGAAATGCAAAAAAACTCAACATTTTGTTTGTTATTCTGCTTTACCGGTCCGCTTTGTGTTTGTTTGCTTATGTAAATATGTGGTTGTGTAAATTAAGATCAGATGTATAGCGTATGGAAACATTATCTGTAACCAATAGGCACGTTTTAAAGAATCAACACAGGTCACTTCCTCCTGCCGATAGGAAACGAGGCCACACTGCTTCCTGTTATTCTCAGATATCCGCAAATAAATTGGTAATAAAATATTAATAAAGTTCCTTTAAACATGTTTTGTTGTTCAATTTGTGCTCTTTAGCTGCAGATGAAGATCCACACGTTTCCTGCTGACCCAATAAAGTCTTAAAAAGGCATTGAATTCATTAATTAATCTTAAAATAAAGCTATATTGGTGTTTAAATTGTATTAAAGGTCGCCTATCATGCTATTTTTAGGCAATAGCATAGGTCTCAGATATATACAAATATATAAAAAACATGTCTATGAAGTGTTTTGCTCAAAATACCAAACAGATCACCCATTCTAGCCATGCCTCATATCCCTCTATTTCACTTCCTGTTTCTAAAGTGCTGATTTGGGGTATACATTTTTTTGGATAAGAAATAAAAAGGAGGGGTCTGAGCTCATGCGGGACCCGGCAGCTACTGTCTAAACTAAATACTGCCGTGATGAAACGCCATATCATGGATTATCAAGGATTCTCTCTGAAACAGTATGGAGCTCAAAGGCTTTCTCTCTTGCCGGTTATACCACAAGGTGAGTTCCTTTTTATTTCCTGCTTCTTCACACACATGCTCTCCAGTACAGGTTAGCTCTGAGTGTTAGCGATGCTAATATAAACACCGACCATATTACGTCCAAA